TATACACAAGTTAAACCGAGTACAGCTGATCGATGATTCATTTATCTTTTCAAAAGTTGGTGATATTGATTATGAAATCACGTTTCAACTTTTGAATTATCTTAAACATGAAAACGAATATGCACCGTGGTTGGCTGCATTAGATGGTTGGTCTTGGATATATAAATTAATGAAAAGGACTCCAAACCAAGAAAAATTTCGAGTAAATTTAAAGGAAATTTTCATTTAATTATTAACTATAAAAGTTAATGCTGTTAATCAAGTATCTATTTTAATATATCCATAAATAACACAGATGAATCGACGTTAAAAATCATGAATGACATACAGTTTAGAGTAAGAAAGATGTATGGTTTCCTAGACCCGACTATTCATTGTAAATTAATTTTTAGGGGTTTAGTCAACTCCTAAAAATTAGTATTAATTAAAATTTTCAGATCTATGTGAATTGAATATTGAAGTCATTACTACGAGTTTTGAATTGATACACCTCCTTTGTAAATTTTTCAGTGCACAAGACTAGTTCTTTCTGTAGCTCCACTTATACGCTGTATATTTAAACATTAAGAAGATTAAAATTCAAATTGAAGAATCAAAAATATGCAAAACAAAATTTCCTAATTTAGTACACTACATAACTATTAACGAGTTTTTTTTTATGGTTAACAGTAATCCAATAACGATTCACTGTACTCGTGTAATACAGTTAATCTATATTTTTTTAAGTCCTAAATTCCATATTAATTTTTATTATAATATTTTGAACATGAATCTGTTGTATTTACTTATTGTATTGTTGTAATTTAAATTAATGTGGTTTCAGAACTATATGCATCGTATGATGTCGTCTGTGTATGCYAAATTCCAAGACATGACAGTTGAACTTGATGATTTTGAAGAAATAGTATTTAAAAATCAAGTGACTGCACATGCCTGTTATTACCAAATAAAAGGCTGTATCGAACAACCTCTAAACTTGTTTAGAAAATGGATGAAAATTACGGATCCAGATAATAATAATATGTGAGTTAAATCAATGTCTAATGTATTGAACTAATTACAAACTGTAATTCAAATTAGATTGCCGAGAGAACTTAAATCAATTATTTACACTCAAGCGATAAAATACGGAGGTGAAGACGAATGGAACTTTTTATTGGAACGTTATCAGCGTTCCAATTCGAACTCTGAAAAAGATGATATGCTCATAGCATTAGGATGTAGTTCAGAAACTTGGTTACTAAACAGGTATTAATATCATATTAGCGTCATATGGACAGCACAGTGACACATTATTTTTATGTTAGATATTTGAATTGGTCACTTGATAATTCAACTATTYGCGAGGAAGACGCTGAGACAGTGTTCAGTGCCACAGCGACCAATGAAGTTGGATTTTCTATGGCAAAAGACTTTTTGTATCATAATRTTTCAATTATTTATGAATTGTATGTTACCATTTTAAGTTTATTAATTATAATATAAAATATAAAATATAAAATATTAAGTTGAAAGTTTATAATTAATAGGTATTTTAATTTGTAAAATTTTAGCTACCAAT